TTTTCTTTCTTTCTTAAAGTTTCTTTCTTTCTCTCTCTCTCTCTTTTCTTTCTTTCTCTCACTCTCCCTCTCCTCTCTCTCTCTCTCTCACGTTCTTTATTTCAGGCATCACTCATCCATATAAACGAAAACATACATACGTACAGATAGAAAATACACATAATCACACAAAAAAAGGGAAAAGCACAAATTTAAAATACCTGAGGTCCATTAGTTGTAGACTGAGAATAAGCATCGATGACAAAATCTGGCACTAGTTCATAGCCATGGCTGCCTCTCCTTATTCTCAGTACCCTATTGATATAAAGGACATAAACAAAACATTAAAATGAATTATAACATTCATGTCAAGAAATCAGAGATCTCTGACTTCTATAGGAATCCTCTCACTACAATGTCAGCTGTGAACAAAACACTTGGTTTACTATCATGAAAGTCCATCTGTGTTGGTTGAAACCTGGCTTTTAGAGACCTCTCATTGGGGAAACAGAGAGGTCTCTAAAAGCCAGGTTTCAAGAACATACACGGCCTACAAATGTAGCTCTGCCAGTTCAGAGGTGTCTCAACACATCCACATAGAGTCACCCGGACATTTTTTTTCACTTGACACTGTAAGGATTTTAGACACTGAACAAGACTATTTTTTGAGAGGGGTGAAGGAAGTCATTTACATCATGATCAGGGCCCATCACCCTTCATTGAACCGCGACGGGGGCCGACATCGTCTACTAGATACCTTTGACCCAGTGTTGACGTCACACTTCAAAAAAGCCACGTGACATGCTTCACTGGGTCAGTCTACTGAGGAAGACCAGAGTGACTGGTCGAAAGCTCTATGTGAGAGAATTTTTTTGTTTTGGACCAAAAGTCTTAACTTAAAACAAAACACTTGGTTGTGTAAAAAGAGTCTCTTTACTAGTAACTTACCAACCTGATGAAACTATTCACGGATATTGTATGAAGGCTACCTGAGTGTGCTGGGCCCCATGTGGAAGATCCTTCCAGAGTCGTCTGTATGGAAAAAGGCCTTGTCTGGCTCAACAGAAACACTGTCCATGTCCAACACTCCATTCTTGGCCTGAAAAATGCAATTCAAAGATGCTTAATGTAGCACCTTTGACAAGGAAAATGAAGGGGAGTGGAGAGTGATTACAAATTCCACAACATTTTTGCTGCCGATTACTCTGACTAAGTCTCAGAGCTGATTATGACTTTTAAGCTTTGCAGCTAATGTTACAGTACTATTTTTTACGTCGATTTTTTGGGAGGCTGCCTTCGGATTACAAAGACTACAAAGGCGTGAATACGTCTTACAAAAAAGGGCATGCCCTCCTAAAGCCTTGAAATCATTGAAGAATGTATTACCATGGCACCTGTTTGCAGAGACTTGACATGGAAGACTCCCTTGTACCCTTGTGCTGGAGGAGTGATGAGGTAGTGCCAGGGTATCCCTCCCATCTGCAAGCTGTGTTCTAAACACTTCACTTCAAACAGTACTGGCGGACGCTCTGAAACAACAAGAAACAACGAAAAAAAATTATGTTATCATGAAAGTTTATAGTAAATTATCATATAGCCGGGTGACATTGACCAAGGCTCCATTCCACATTCCTTATGACGCAAATGTCACAAACAGAGTCAAAACCTGGTCATTATTCATCCCAATCCATACATTTAACAACCCAATAATCACCCATATATGACCTGGGGTGACCCATATAGAACACCGCTCTGTTAAAAAAAATCCAAAAATAACTTGTTGTGTTCCAATGACCTCATGTGACTCCCATAAGAACACCTGTTCCCTGCCTGTGACCCCCTTCCGATGTTCCGGGGAATATGGTGTGATAAAGCCTTGTCAGTAGCTATAACCACCTCATAAAGCCACCTCATTCGCTGCGCTTACTCAGTGGCTCATTCGGTGGTTATAGCAACTGACAAGGCTTGATCACACCATATTCACCTCGGGGCGGGTCATTAACCCTTAAATGTTGAACTTTATTCCAACACAAGGGTTAAACAGACATCAAATTTTCAACAATTTGATCTGTGTGTTGGAACAAAGTTCATTTTACTAACTTTTAATGAGGCTGTTTCCTTGACTAATATGATGAAAGATGTTGAAAGTTAAAACTTTTGTTCCAAGACTTTTGTTTACTAGAGACTTTTGAGCCAGTGTTGACGTCACACTTTAGAGAAGCCATGTGACAAGTCTCACTAGGTTATTCTACTGAAAAAGACCAGAACGAAAAAGAAAAACATATACATAGATTGTATACTCAAAGTCATTCCCACATATTTCTACCATATGTTACTCACCTGTTAGTTTGACAGTCAGTGGAAGTCCAGTGGGGTAGCTACCAACAGTACCAAAGTCTCCACAGTTCTGGTAAAGGTCTGCTTTCACAACAGTGTTCTACAGGAACAGGAAAGTATTTCAAGAAAGGGGCCTGGAGAAATTTTTCAAGAGTCAAGATTCAAGATCACTTTATTGAACATTGCAGTGTATCACTGAATTGCGCCCAATTTACACAGTTTAAAAACAATTTGATACATACAAACAGTATTTTACATAATTAATAAAATGCAGTGACAATTTAAAAAGATGGTAGTTAAAATGGCAGACACTGCACATCTAAGGGATGTAGAATCGATTGTAGTAAATCTGCTCGAATAAAAAGGTACAATTATTAATATATTTTTTATTATAATTATATTGTAAGGATACAATATACACCCCCACAAACTATTGGACCAGTCCGGTCAGAGGTCACGGACTGCACATGTTCTGACAAGAATACATTTCATATCCCAGCACTTCTCGCATCTTCATTCCTGGAGTGATTACTTATAAGTTCCAATATCTTCACCAACTGGACACTTATATTGGTGGCAGCGGTGTCTGGCTTCGAACTCCCGCCAGCTCTGTCTTGTGGATCGCATTTGGAGCACATTGCCGACCGACGTTCGAGCGCCCCCCTCCCCCACCTGGTTGACTCGTGTCTACCCTGCTCTACCAAGACTCCAGGTATGGCTAACCTCCATCCGTTTACGCTAGAAGACGATGAGGAAATTACCTTTCCACGGCTGCGACCACTGTTGTCACCTTCAGAAATTTCCCCCATTCAATCCCGTGGCGCATCCGGTGTCCGAACTGCAACCACCCTCCCAGGCGCCCTCCCACGTACAACACCACAGGTGGGTCCCACACCACTGTACAATCAGTATGCTCAGTCTGCTTACGCTACAGGATCTTTTCCTGGTAGGGGTACCGTGCCCACAGCCACGTCTGTTGCTGAATCCAACACTCATGGGACCAGCCCTGCCGGGGCTTCTTACCACCAGGCTCCACCCCCTGCCATGACTCAGGACACCACCAACCAGCAACCCTCGTCAGACCTCCGCCTCAAGACAAGACTGCCACCCACATTTAACGGCACTGATGATGACTTCACCTTGTGGCTCAACAAATTTGACCTTTATGCCACTTCTCAGAAGTACACCCCTGAGGAACGTGCCATGGCCCTCCCAACTTTCCTTGACCACCATGCCCTGCGTTTCTACCTTGGTTTGCCGAGGCAGGCCCGTGCTACCTATTCAACACTGACTCAGCGCCTGGCCACTGCCTTTTCCAAGGAACACTACATTTACACGTTCCGCCAGTCGCTCCAGGAACGAACACGCCAACCTGGAGAACCCTTGATCGTATTTGCACTTGATCTACGCAGGTTGGTAAGCCAAGCCTATCCTGAGTACAACGAAGCAGCGGTTGAGGGCTTACCTTGGACTACTTCTTCAGGGGAATTGATCCTACCATCCACAGACGGCTTCGCGAGGTGCAGGCCACAACAGTGGACCAAGCAGTCAAAACCGCTACCATGCTGGAACAGGCCGCTACAGCAGCTGCATGGGAGGCCAACAACGCTCATGCTGTCGATCCTACCTTCCATCACCCCGCGGTGAGTGCCGTCCGCAACGATACCTCCCTACACCGTACTGTTGCTGACCTGGCCCGCCAAGTATCAGACTTGACAGACCTCTTGAAACACCACCGCATCTCCCCCACCGATGACCCTCCGCGGTCCACGTCTCCTTTCCGTCCCCGATCCAGAGGGAGATCACCGTTCCGCTCATCAGACGCCAGCCGACGTTCTGCTCGCTCCCCTTCTTGGGACAGAACCTCACGTCGCCCTTCTTCTAGAGACAGGGACTACCACCGTCCGTCTTCCGACCGTTACCGTGCCCGCTCGCCTTCCTGGGAGCGTGATTCCCGACCTCCTTCCACTGATCGTCGCCAGAGTCGGTCTCCAACTCGCTCGGTACGTTT